TTTTATATTTAATTTAAAATTTGAATATTATATAAATAAAAATTTATTTTTTAATCAGTTATATAAATAACTAAAATTTTAATATTTGGAGAGCATAATTCAAAAATATAATTAAATAAAATGATTATTCATTTGATAAATTTTATCGATAAAATTACTTATCATGAAACTATATATCATCTTACTACATATATTTTCATCACTCTACTTTTTATGTGGTCATCCTATGTATCATTAGAGAGATTTTTAAATAAAATTGATTAGCTAGAATTAAAATAAGCATAATAGTCCATATTTATTTTCCTAATAAGTAATATCATTCCACTAATCATATAAAATACAGTTTATTTTGATTTGTTAATTAAAATTTTTGAGAGCTTAAATTCAAATTTTATAAATATAATTTGTATCCAGAACTCTCTATAAATACCTCATCCCAGCACCTACCCTAAGAAGCAATAAGCTTTTGAGTTTTGCTTGTTATCTTTCTGGCTCATTTTTCACAGAGAGAGAGAGAGAGAGAGAGAGAGAGGAAATGGAGGCGAAGGAGCAAGATGTGAGTTTGGGAGCAAACAAGTTTTCAGAAAGGCAGCCTATAGGCACTGCTGCGCAGAGTCAGGATAGAGACTACAAGGAGCCTCCTCCGGCTCCTCTGTTTGAGCCCAGGGAGCTCAAGTCCTGGTCTTTCTATAGGGCAGGAATTGCAGAATTTGTGGCGACCTTCCTCTTCCTCTACATCACCATTCTCACTGTGATGGGGGTTTCCACTTCAAACAGCAAGTGTTCAACCGTTGGGATTCAGGGGATTGCTTGGGCTTTTGGTGGCATGATCTTTGCCCTTGTGTACTGCACTGCTGGGATCTCCGGTATTTATGGATTCTCTTGTTCTATTTCTTCTCTTACGTTTGTTGTCGTCTTGGCGACATTTTTTAATGTCATTGGCTATTCCTTATTCCGGAGATAGAAGCTTTAAATTAGATTTCTTCATGTCTTAAGTGTGTTTTGTGAGGGAGCTATGCCATGTCTTTCTTTGGCGACAAAGGAAATTATTTTTATGTTAGTTTATTTTGCTTATTCTCCAAAGCACTATTTTTGGAGCATTTGGAACTACGAAATTTGTTTTAGTTTCCAGGAGAAAATTACCATGAAGAAATCGTTGGGCTTGAACTTCTTTTGTTAACTTTGCGTGCATGTTGTGATGTTAATATGTCTGTAACTCATGCATATCCTATAGCTTAGCATAAAGGGGCTGTTTGGATGCGAGGTTTTGATTTGGATTTAGAAAAAATATTGCGAACAAAAAAATTTTAGACATAATTTTAAATATAATTTTTCTCTCTTTTTAAGTTCATCTTCAACTGAAAATTCTATTTTCACTTCAGGATACAATAAATGTCAAATCAAATAGTAATTTATCTCCAACCAAATTTTATTCCTCACACAAAAAAAGAATAATCTTTATATTTATTTTATGACAAAAAATGGCTTCCACTAATATTGCTGTCAAACTCTTTATGGTGGACTCAAAAATGTGTTTTCATTTGTTATTTTGGTGGTCTCTCGCTAGAGCTGCAAACGGGCAAATAATGTTCGGTTGGAGATGCCCTAAGCTGCATTTAAAATTAGGTAAATCTTGGTGAAGTAGGATTTAAAAGATTTGCACCACTTTTCACTTCTCTCTGTCTGTTCTTATCTTTGATTCAAATCCTAAATTTATAGATTATTTGTTAATAAATTACTAGAATTAACTAGATTTAATATCTGTTATGCCCAAACGTTTTCAAGCCTTTTGGATTTTCTAATTCTTGATTTACGAGATTTACTAAATCCCACTTCAACTAAATCCTCTTTAGTTAAACATCCCCTTATTATGAACTTGATAACTCAACTTTTTTGTTTTAATTTGAACTTTGAACATGCAATTTCGACAGTTTGTATATAACTTTAATGTTTAATTAGCAATTTCTTGGACTTGAAATAAATACAAATTGTGTACTCCATCTCCTTAAAAAAATCTGTCCTTTGAAGCTTAGCTAAGCTTAATATCATCTTGCTTTTCTATTATTTACCAATTTTTCTCTTCTTCCAGGCTTTTCTCTTCTTCTGCACAATTTTTCAAAGAGCTAATGCTACTGGCTTCTTCACTGTGGGCAGGTGGGCACATCAACCCAGCAGTTACATTCGGTCTCTTCCTGGCCAGGAAACTCTCCCTGACTAGAGCTCTCTTCTACATTGTGATGCAATGCCTTGGTGCCATTTGCGGTGCTGGTGTTGTCAAGGGCTTTAAGAAGGGTCTCTACATGGCTAAGGGAGGTGGAGCCAATGTGGTGAACCTGGGCTACACAAAGGGAGATGGCCTCGGCGCTGAGATTATTGGAACTTTTGTTCTAGTCTATACTGTCTTCTCCGCCACTGATGCAAAGAGGAATGCCAGAGATTCTCATGTTCCTGTAAGCAATCTTACTCAGCCATTTTTTTGTTAGAGCCAATTTGATTACCTTATTACCTTCAGTTTTTTGTTTGTGGAAATAAGTTGGGATGCTAAGATTGATCTTACATGCAGCCAATGCAGTCCTGTGCTTTTAGTTGGCTTTTTGTAAGAGCATAAAAATGTCAAATAAGCAAGAGTCCTAAGATTGGTTTGTTTTTTAGAGAACAATTGCAACCCTACTTGATTACAATTTTCTTGCCTTTTTTGGGTTTTTTGTGAAGAATAATTATTTTTTTAGAACCAAATTTATAAGAGTAAAGCACTTGTAAGAAAGTTTTTATCCAACTTTTTCTAGGAAGAGGAAAAATTATAATAAAACGCTATAGTATAGCTTTAAAAAAACTTACGTTTTTGACAACAGTTCTATAGCAAGCAATCACTCTAAGACTTCATTTGGAACAGCTTTTGATCATCATTATTTTTTATTTCTTTCAAGAAATTTTTAGATTAAAAAGTTGTTTCAGAAAATAGTAAGAAAATTGTAACAAATTATCACTTTGGACTATGACAAGTTCTATTTATTTTTGACTTATTTATCATCCGGTCATGGACAACAAGAAGCAAAGTTTTTTATCTTCAAAAATCATTGATACTATAAATTTACTGTTTACTGGTGTTGATACACAGATACTTGCTCCCTTGCCTATTGGCTTTGCTGTTTTCCTTGTTCACTTGGCCACCATCCCTATCACTGGCACAGGCATCAACCCAGCTAGGAGCCTTGGTGCTGCCATAATCTATAACAGAGATCATGCTTGGGATGACCATGTAAATCTCTTAATACACTTGTGATAATCAAACTCTTTATCCTACTTTTCAAAGATCACTATAGGCTTTGTTTGGGACGGCTTTTTTCCTGCTTCTTAAAAGCTGCTTTAAGAAGCCATAAGAAAGCAAACAAAGCCATCATCTAATTTAATTCATATTCTTCTTATTTCAGTGGATTTTCTGGGTAGGTCCCTTCATTGGAGCTGCTCTGGCTGCCATCTACCACCAGATAGTTATCAGGGCCATCCCATTCAAGAGCCGGACTTGATCAAATATTGACAGTTTGGCGTGTGATGATCATAATTGTTCTTGTGACTGTACCTTTTTGTTCTACTAAATGAACTGCTGTGTAATACTACTATTTACTATTCATCCTTGTTCTCGTTTACTGCTGCTATGTAACAGCTTTTAGCTTCCTTTGATCATTGCTTTCCTTCTTAGCTAAATTGCAAGGGTAGTAGGCTACATTGGGACCAGCAACATGTGAGCAAAGCTGGCTTGGTGATAATTTGAAAGACTTTTTTTCAGATTTTTATTGGCTTTCATACTGAACTTAAAAATCAAATAATGACTAAAAAAATCGCTTAGAAAATATATTTTTTGTTTAAAGCGGTCATTGAGGCCTAGGAAAGATCCATGTTTGATTAGTTTAGTATGCTTTGAAAGTCATCTTAGGAAATTATAACTCCCCTATTGACTTATTCTCAAACAATTGCATGTGAACTCATCAATTATGGTCAGTTATGTTGTGTAAATTTTTACAATATCAGTTAAACTAAAGATAAAATTTTGATGTTCATAATAAAGTAATCAAACTAGACTACTAAAATGTTAGTTCTATGATTGCATGGCCTTGTAGTGCATAAATGGGCATATCATACTTCTATGAGATCTTCAAGAAAATATACCTTTGTAGCATCAATTATTTATTCCATTTCTTGATGAGTCTCAAATTGACTTACATTTCTTTCTTTCTTTTTTTATGATTCACCTTTTTTTATTAAAAATGATAAAAATATATGTTTCTATTATTGAAAAATGTGTCTGAACCTAGATTGAACTATATCATAATATGGTTTAAATATTGATCAAACAACCATGCCTAATTGAGGTTTAAATAGGGTTTGAACAATGATCGAATAATGTGATTTAAATAAGGCTAGAATATGTATTAGAGCATGCTCGAATCATGTTTGATCGTAGTTTAAATAAAGACTGAACATAATTAACACACATTCTAAAAAAGATAAAAAAACATAATATTTGATACTCTATCTAATTCTATATTAGAGCTTCATAAAAATTATCTAATCTATAACATATAAGAATAAAAACCATGTGTTGAAGCTACTGATGAATAAAGAAATGTCGAACTTCACCAATATGATCCTTCTTGAGTGAATAAATTTTAATCGAAAGTGATGAAGATGATGTCACAGAAGAAAGCTAAAGTGGGAAAGAGCGAACATTATTTTTTTAGGATAATGAACCTTAAGAATAGCAGGAATATTTAAGTTTTTCATTTTGGTTAAAACCCACCTACAGGCTTACATGTTAATATGCCAAAAATTATACAAAGTCTTTAAGGAGACCTCCAGCTCTCTACTGCTCGACTGAGCTCCAAAATTGTCAAAAAATACCTTTGAGCTGGTTGTCCCCACTAAGCAAAATTACAAGGCAACCTAAGAAAAATCTAACTCGTCCAAAAGCTAGCACCCCAAAATATAAACTCCAAATATAATATTTCAGCTCCATCTTGCCACCAATTAAGAGATCAACATCCATAAAAAAAAAAAAAATCGTCTAATATATTTCTCTAAGAAAATAAATAATAAACATGTTTCTCTTATATTTTTCTTATGGGACATATAAATTTTCTATATATTTTAAATGGGACAAGTATCATTTCTGAAAGTATGTCTTAAAAGAAATTTTTTGAAAATTTGAAGACTGAGAACAATTGCGTGGTAAGTGAGCTTTGCTAGGGTTTGCTGTTTTGGCTACGAGGGTTTTGCTTCTCCTTCGTTTCCTGGCATTGAGGCCGCCTAGCTCTACCATCGGGGTGGTTCTTCTTTACTCCTGATGGACCTCAATCCTCTCGACTTCCCACCTCATCAAGGTACCTCCTTACTAGGTGATCCCCCTTCACTCCAGACTTACTCCTATGCAAATAAAGTGTTCACCCCCTCGAAGGTGCCTGATGACTTCCCGATTTCCTCCGTCTCTTCGAGTAAGAAGCTTTCTTTCTCGGCGGGTGATTTAACGGAGGGTACTTCCTTGTGGACTCTTTCCCTTGTTGGCTACTCCATTGGTCAAAACCCATACTATGAACGCCTTCTTACTTCTATGAACAAGGCATTGAAACTCAAGGGCTCGCTCTCTTTGCTTTCCCTAACTAATGGCTTCTTCCTCCTGAAGTTCAGTTTCGCTGATGATTAAGAGATGGTTTGGTTGGGTGGACCCTAGTTCCTTCTCGGTAAGCCTTTCATACTTTAAAAATAATCCCCAAAATTTAAGCCTAAGCGTGATGAGTCAGCGGCAATTCCTTTCTGGATCAAAATCTGAGATCTTCCATTGGTTATGTGGACACCAGTAGGTATCTCTAAAATTGATAGTTTTATCGGGATACCCTTAATGGTTGATTCTCTCACGGCAAAATGCATTGGGCTTACTTTTGCTAGGGTGTGTGTCCAAATTAACAAAGATTCTACTTTGCCAGATGAAATTCTACTAGAAGTGGATGGAGAAGATATGATTTTGAAGGTTTTGTAAGACTGGAAGCCTATCCGCTGTGAGGGTTGTGGATCCCTCATCCACCCCTATTATTTTTGTCCCTCAAACCTTGATTTTAAAACCACTCTTCATCTAAAAGTCATTAGGGGTAGAAGCAGGAGCAGAAATCCTATTCCTAGGATTCCTGGGTCCTCCTCTAAACCCCCCTCTTGACTCCAGAACCTCTCCCTATCATAATCCCGATTATTGAACCACTTTTGGAGTCTATTTCGATTACCGATGATCCTCTTCTAACCAATAAGGACCCTTTAATCCCAAATCTAAATCAACCTAATGGGGAATCCTCTTCCTCAGGTCATTCTCCTCAATAGAACATATTCTTACCTTCTCAAGTCATTCTTGCCAACAATTTCGCCTCTCTTCAGAGGGAGCATCCTTCTTCTCCTACCCCTGAGGGCGACCGAGAAGAAGATCCTGATGGTGAGGAAGCTGTTGAGATAATAGCTACTTAGTTCTTGCTTGTTGATATTCTTGTAACTTGTATATTTTTTATGATTCCAAATATTATTACTTTGATTATTATTTCTCCTAATATATTTTGGAAGAATTGTTTATCTGTTTATATGTACTAATATTTCAGAGAAATTATACTATAGATTATTGAAGACTTTAAATCAGATTAGTTTAGCGGTTATTGTATTTGAAGTCAATATTTTTTTTTTCATTTTATTGAGTCTGAGAGAGTGTGACTGTAATTGAGTAACTGTATACACACACTAGGGGAGAGTTTAAAATCTATATTTTTTTAAACTGATCGTATTATATGATATGCTTTTGTATTGGACGATCTGATCAGTTATTTTCCATTCGAGCAATCAAACAAACAAATATTAAAAAAAAATTCTAAGTATGGATTGTAGTATACGACTATACGATATACTATTCGTACATATCTTCTAGAATATGAATTGGACGGGTCCCTTTTCATCCCGACTTTTCATCCAGACAAACTTGAAAATTTTTTGAATGATTCATATTGTACGTTGTCGTCATCGTACGTACGCCATCCAGGGTACGAATTGGGCGAGTCCCTTTTCATCCTGTATGATGTCGTCATCAAACGTACATGTTCATTATACGCCATACAGGGTACGAAATTGTGGAGTCCCTCTTCATCCCGATAAAGATGAAAATTTTTCTAATTATTCGTATGGACGAACTTGGTTCATACCGGACGATCATCATGTACGAAATGATTTCATAACGATTCACAATAGGTTCATACACAATAGTTTTTGAAATATTCGTATGTACGAACATATGATCGCACTGTACAATCTTGTATGCTCAAAATAAAAATTTTTAGTTTTTTGAATAGTTTTTCGTGTCTTTGATATAAAAGATCCACTAAAACTAACGTAAAAAAAAATCTTGTCGTTGTGATTTTATAAGAGCAAGTGAAAGAAGGTGTGGGAGAGTATTTGAGATAGATTTCTTATAAGTGGAGTGGAAAGGGTTCACAAGGTTACTCAAAGGTAAGGATCTCTTTGTGATTTTGGTGATTACTCTTCTTTTCTTCATTCTAGTTGCCTGTGAGTAGATCTTTGAAGAAGATCTTGTTCTCTGTCGACACTTGGAGGGTATTAAAGGACGACGGTTTTCTGCCTACACTTGGATGGTGTGAAAGGATGACGATTCTTTACCAAACTTTGAGGGTGTGAAAGGACGATGGTTCTCTGCCGCACCGGAAATTGGTGGAAGAGAGATTTTGTAAAGACTTCTCCGCCTTGTTGTATGGGCAAAATGAGAGACGCTTTGGTAATAGTGCAATACCTGAAGAGGGAGTCTTCAGGGGGTGAACATATATCATATTTGACCGAACCACTATAAATCTTTGTGTCTTTTATTTTTCGCATTTTTATTACTACAAGTTATTTACTGTAGTTGAAAAGTTTTATTTTAAAATTTAAATTAACTTACTACAAATTTTTAAAATTAGTTTTCTATTAAAAAATTTATGATAATTTTTAAATTACCAATTCATCCCCCCTCTTAACTGCCTTGGGATAATAGCTTAGGTTTAACAACCTATACAACATCAACAAGTGGTATTAGAGCCTTACTTCAAAATCATAATTTTAAACTACTTTTTGATAAATGAGAATGGCTACTTTTGAAAATTGAAATACACCTGAAGGGTATTCAATCACTAAACCTCCTTTGTTTGATAATATCCTTTTTTGATTTTTGGAAAACACGCATGTCTACTTATCTACAATTACTTGATTATTTTATGTGGATTTTATTTCAAGAAGGGTATACTAGATCAACTAGATTAGTTGATGGTATTAGAGTTAAAACACCCTTTACTAACTGGACTGTAGAAGAGCGTGACTTAGCATAACTAAACATAAAAAGTTTAAATAGTTTATTTTGTGCACTCAAGTTAGAAGATTATATGTGGGTGTCCACTTGTACTTGCAAAGTGGAAAGGACATATGGGATAGGCTTTGTATTACTTATGAAGGGACTAATGAAGTAAAGAAATCTAGATTAAATATCTTATTATATGACTATGAATTATTTCGTATGAAACTAAATGAATATATTTCTTGTATGTATACAAGATTCACTCAAATATTTACTTATTTGTATGCATTAGGAAGGGAACTAACGAATGCTGAAATGATCAATAAAATTCTTCGTTGTTTGC